CTTCACAAACATCATTTTCATGGCTGCATATTACTGCACTAGTAGTCATTTGTTTTCTGTCTTTAGCAACTACAAATGACTTTGGGCAAAATCTTTACTACACATGTTTCTGATTACTTTCTTTGGATAGATTCCCAGAAGTAGAATCACTGGGCCAAAGGGAATGAATGTCTTAAGGCTCCTGATATATGAGCAAAGCCACTTTTCAAAAGACTACACCAATTTACACTTCCATTCACCAGAAACAACTCTGCCATAGTTGAAGCAGGTGACCCCCTTGGGACTCAAATAGGCAAAAGCCTCACACAAACAAGCCAGACCACATGAGCATCTTGCAGCCTCATGGCAGAAGGAACCACACACACCACCCTGATTTCTACACTCAGGTGTGATTATGGAAACCATACACTGTAAAGCTATACTTATTTTTTTGTGAGCAAGTATCAGCGGTAGAATTCTCTGGCTAGACGTCACATATTAACTTTGAACGAATTGAACTATTGTGTAAAATATATAAAGGCGCATAACATCCTGCTTCTTCACATGATTAATTATAACAACCCTCACTCCTATAAATGTGCATCACTATCACAGCCAGATGCAATATGCCCAACCAATCAGTAATGGCATCTTCACATACTGGCCATATTCACCAAACTGTTTGTTTACATCAAGTATCAGAAATTCACAACCAAACCATAGTGGAAATTGATATCACTATGTAAGCAACAGAGTTCATCTGACCAAAAATAAATAAATAAATAAAATACTAAGGTTAGTAACTACTAATAAAACAATTTAAAAAATAAGGTTACATACATAATCAAAAAATTTCCTCAGGTGGAAGAAAATGTGGCTGATAAAAGAGAGATCAAATTAGGCAATACAAAAACACACAAAAGAGCATTCTTAGAAGAAAACATATTGGTCCTACCTGTGAGTTTTCCCTAGAGCTGTGTTCACCTCATAGCCACCTCTGTCACTAGCAGTGGGCTTAGTAGCCCTGGAATATAGTCTATTGTAAATGGGATAAGTATCATTTGAGCCCCCACTATTAGATCTACTTATGCATGANTTTTTTTTTTTTTTTTTTTTTTTTTTTTTTTTTTTTTTTTTTTTTTTTTGCGAATTGCCCTTGACGTTTCTGTCCAGCACTGTAGGCCTTATTACAGTCATTTTTCTGGGAAGGGCCTGGGGGTGGGAAGCGAGTAGATGAGGCTTTCCCACCTTACAGTTTTACCTAGTGTTTGGTTTAGATCAACCAAGTCATGAGGAGAATGACAAACATCAGAGCGTCTCCGAATCTAGACTCTCAGAGATGGGAGACTCTACTAAGATCATCTGTTCCAGCTTATTCCCAACTCAACAGGTGGCGAGGATCCCTCCAACCCTGACACTCCCAGAAGCCCAGGCTATGCACGTGTGAGGCGCTGCCAGGGGAAGAACCCAGAAAGCAGCAGCCCTCCCCTCTCCTGCTGATGGGAGTGGGGGAAGCTGGCCCCCAGAACCTCCCCAGAAGGGAAGCGGGAAAGGGAAGGGAAGTCCTGTTTCATTGTGGTAAAACTCTTTGTTAAAAATATCTTATTGTACTACCTCATATACTCTTTGAGTATAAAAGTAATTTATGTTCATTGCAGAAAATTTGGGAAGTTGACAAATGTGCAAAGAATCAGATAGCCTACAATTCCACCACCGAGATCTTACACTGTTAACAGATTGGCATACTTCCTTTCCATCTATTTTTATGCCTTGAAATCATACAATCCATAGAAAGCCAGCATTTATTGGGTATCTAATAAATGTACTTTGCATGGTGTTAAGTATTTTATATTCATTATGTCATTTAACCATAAAAGTCCCTCCGAGGTAAGAATTATTATTTTCACCCCCATTTTTCTGGGGTTGCATAGAGCCCAGGTGACTTGGCCAAGTCACATAGCCAATAAGTGGCAGAGCTAGGATTCAAACCCAGGCTGACTCTGAACTGTGGTT